TTTTTTTCTGCTTGTTATCGTTTTCTAAATAGAAAATGCGATTACAAGTCGGTCGTTATGCACAGGTATTATAATTGCACGCATTAGGATTAGCATACGCTTAACCCTTACCATCTGATGGCATTATTACTAGTTTACAGTCGGATATGCCTGAGAAATTGCTCATTCTAGTATTCTTCCTTACCGCTTTGCGGTAAATTACACTACTGAAAACTACACTAACACGGTTGGACTCGAATGATCTGTAGAAAAATGACATAATTATGTTGTCGTACTTATATCCTATGATATACACCTTCATTGAGTAATTACTTAATTACACATCGAAACAAGTTGCTTCCTCTCTGTGTATTAGAAATTGAACGGCAATAAAAAACATACGTTCCCCTTTAAGTTTAAACTGAGAACGCGTGCCTTTTCTCCTTACGTATTTGGTCATGTATGTAAATTTAGCTGGTAGTAATAATACCACGCGTCTCGAGAGCAGAGAAGATATTTGAAAAGACATACTTGTTATTTACTCGTCCATTTCGTGCATTATCGAAGTACAAAGTGCATTGTTATTGTCACGGAGAAAGTAGCCGCGATGTAAACCGCTTAAACCGGTCTCTCTTGTTCCTGAACGGGTTCGCGATCCAACCTGAGCTTCTGGACGGTGCACAACAGCTGTAAGCTGCGTGCAACGCTTAGCAGGAAATGCCAGATCTTCGTTTATCAATCTTGTCTGCCTGTAACACGATATATATACATTGTACACACACACGTATACATACATACATATCCCCATACGTTATTTATACGTACGTGCATTATATTTTTTTTTCTCTCTTTTTTCCATCTAATTCGACGGGAAAAAGTGAATTCGAAAGCCGAAATTTTCTCACTCTGTTAGCGAAACACAATCCTCAATTAAATCGTGAGAAATCATTACCTAGTAATAAGTGAATTATCAGGCCTGGTGCTCGCATTACTAGATAGCTTGTTATCTGCTCCCGGGAGCGACGAGTAAGACGATTTGAAATGTAAACGCCACGGTAGGATGTTGATTCGGTGTCAAACAATTAGTGGGGAGCGAGATATGCATCGCTATCCCGGCAGACGACGACGACGACGACGGCTAATTATGAAAAGCCGTGGGAATAAAAACTCCAGACCCTTTTTAATTCTCTATTACCGACGCTTTGGCTCGGAATGAAACGCGAATATTCGCCAGATTGCCCGTATCTTTTTTTCTTTTTTTTTTTT